AGTAGCATACATTGAATGAATGCTCACCTAGTAGAGGGGAAATCCCAAGAGAAAAACTCTAAGGATACCCTGCCACTAGAGAGCCCCTAAATACCCTCAACTTGAGATAAGAAGATATGAAATAAAAGATAAATAGAATAATAGAAATAATTGAAGGGGAGATAGAGGTACAACCCTGAGTCACCCGACCAACCTCCATGTGCCTCCCAAATGACCTTGACACCTCAGGTATGAGGTGAGGCTAAAGCCCCGAGGTTTCTGCGAAGTAACAACAAAGTGGAAACAAGTCGTCCAAAGTGTAAATGAAGGGGAACAAAGTGAATCGAAGTGAATTGAAGCAAAAGTGAAGTAAAAGCAAAGTAAAAATAAAATAAAATAGAACAAGCGAAGGGAAACAAGGGTGAAGTGAAGTAAAATGAAGATAAAGCAAAGTCATCCGAAGTGTGAAACAAGTGAAACGAAGTAAAGCGAAGTAAAATGAAGTAAAAACAAAGTAGAAACAAAGTAGAAAATAGGTTGTCCCTGACAATATTCTGTCGCTAAATTATAAACTTTAGACCTAATATTGGTTCAACATGATCTTTTTTCAACATACTTACATCAAATACTATGGTTCAATAAATCTTCAATCACCCTCTAATTCCTATCTGGCTGCAAGGAGAAAGGAAGCACCCTATGCTCAGCACTTCCCGGATTCACCTGCTGCTGACTCATCAACCATCCTTTTCATGGTTCTTTTCATTCCTCATTAGTTTCAGTCCTTGAGAGGTATAGACTGTTCTTTGAATTGTGAATTTATGATTATATTAAGTCAATGAAAAAATACTCTGTCACAGGGCATATTTTGGCCTCTGACTAATTTAGACCTCCATAACTGTATACCTGCTGTATATGGCCATACCCGTACCGTCAGAGCTTTTCAAATTTGCTTTACGGTACAGTTACTGTACGGAAATTCCATATACCTACTGTAAAGTGTATGGCCATAACCATATACTGTATAGTGCCAAGCCCTAAAGTCTACCCATGCCTAGGTTTGTACCCAAGGACCACCTTCCCCTGGCTACATTGACATAGGTTATAGTTTCCAATCCATATATTTGTATTTTAGATGATTTTTAGACTGATTTGTGTATCTTAACATCCACCTATTCCGCTATAATAGCAACTACAGCATTGCCAACTTTCCTGATGTGGCAGATAGTAAGAATTGGTGTTATTCCCAGCATCGCAAGTAAGACATTTCTGAATCAGAGGAGGCACCAATATTCTACTAGTACGGGTATAATTCCAACAGGAAGAAGTCGAGAAGAAGGCTTCGCAAAATAATTGGAATCATTGAGCTTTAAATTTCAGGGATGAGGATTATGCGGTCTTGATCAACGGAGGAGAACTCCGAATCCATGACAATTATTTTTCAAATGCGAAGGTAAGGCTGGAACGAATATAGCTGAAATGTCGCTAGGATTACATCACTTGATATGTCTATTGCTTCAAACCGTGAATAGATGAGACCTCAGTTTCGTCATAAACTTCGTTGCTCGAGAATGTCCAATATTCCGAATCCTGTTGAAACCAAATCCGAATCCCAAATAGTAGGCATTGGTGGTATTTTCAACATCGAACCGAACGTTCCAGAGAAGGCACCAATGGATTATTAGTACAGGTATAATTCCAACAAGATAATTAGAATTATAGAGCTTTAAATTTCAGGGATAAGAATCAGGCGGTCGGGGTCAACGACTGAGAAGCCCGGGCCCTCGGCATTTACTATCCATTGATGGGATTAAGTGGAAGACAATCCGCGATGTGTAGCTAAATCAGACTGAATCATGGAATACGATGGGACTTAGATTCCCATTGAGCCATCTTCCTATTTGGACTATTCCGATGCTCAAAGTAGGTCTTTAATCGAAAATTGTTGATTTTATCCTCTGGTCGCAGAGATCAAAGAGGATACATTACAGACTGGAAAGATTATCAACACGGTCTGAAATGTAGGTATTCGTCAGTGAACGTAACCATCAGGGGAATAAATGTCGTGGATTTAATTATGATACGAAGCGAAGGCGAAGACTACGAAGACTTAGAATTTGATCAACGAGATCAACGAACTTGAAGCGTTGTGAATTGCCAAGAAATGCCGCTTCCGCCTGAATTGGGTTCCCAACGTTGAATTGATATAGGGGATTAATTGATGAATACCCCGGAGAATAAGTCAACGATCTGGATTCTGAGGCGGTGTGTGGCATTATTACAATTATTTGAAGTCACGGTCAAGATAGGGATATCAGGTTAGATTCGATATTCCAAAACAATGCTATCCGACCTTGCTTGGTAGCCTTTCAGTAGTGCTGGTGAAGAAGCTCGCGAGCCACTTGTAGCTGGAGGAGCATGCTTTTGGAATAACATGAAGGGATATTCGAAAGCCGTAAGTGATTTGTGTAATCGTAGACAGAAAATAGGAAGCTAAAACACTGGGGTGAATGTATCGCTAGCATTAAGACTATTGATACCCAGTATTCAGGATCACCCGAACAGGATATGGTACTTTTGTATCTCTTAATCGCTAAATATACGTTCAGAAAAGGCTACCGAGGATGGACACCACATGGATACTGTAATAACAAACTGTTGAACAACCAAAAAAATGACGCCAAATCATATAAAGAAGTGTGAACCGTACTAGTAGAGTGACTTATACTCATACCGTAGATTGACCTAAGGAACAGTATATGTGCAGAATGGGAATGAGGAGCTGGGTCTCATCATTTGTGAAGCTTCGTTTGAATTTATTCAGATAAACTTCAAGCATCCTGTTGGATTCAATGCAGAGTATTTTAGGTGGTTTTATCAGAGTCAAAACATTCCTTTCTGGGACGAATTTGCCACCAATCCCGGAGTGATAATTCCAACAGGGATAAATTGTATTTATTTTGAGTGGAATAAAGTATAATACTCCAATTGAGCTGTGTAGCGATGAAAAAGATCAATCGACGGGTGAGCGTGATACACACCAGTACCCTGATATTGACTATTGAGAAGAATGTAATTTAAACTGCACGAGGTGACAAGAATGAGCGAGTGAGGCTATAAAGTGGCGAGAACCCATGATATATACCCGAAGGGATGAGTTTTAACACTAAAGGCATGGGCGAGAATATATTAATTTCTACATTACAGACCGGGAATGTTACCAACAAGTCTAAAAATGTAAGTATGAGTTGAAACTCTCCATCGGGGGATAATAATAACTCTTGTGCATTTAATATGATGCGAAGCGAAGACTGAAACTCAGAATTTGATCGCCGGAAAAAATTCCAGAACACTGATATTTAACCAATCAGGAAGTGTGACAGCAGCAGGTTGGGAGTCAGGTCTATTACATTGTTTGTGAGGTCAGGATATAGTGTAGGGTGCTCTAATATTAGTATCGGTATCCTAGATTTTCCGGCGGTAGCAGAGCGCGCTTTGGTTACTGCAAAGCGCTGTAAAACCCTCGGGGAATAACCCAACGAATCAGATCCCAGACGATGTGCAGCATTATTACAATTCTTAGTAGTCGTTAAGATGAGCGTTGGAAGTGAGAAGTGAATGTTCCAAAACCATGTCATCTCGAGGGTGACATGGTAGCTTGGTGGTGTTCAGCAGTGCTGGTGAAGAAGCCCCAAGCAACTTGCAGCCTGAGGAGCATGGTTTTGGAATGTGGGAGATTCCACCCTTATAAATGCAGAAGTAGTTTGTGTAGCCATTGGAGGTACCATAGAACGTTGCTACAATCTTGGGAGGCATACATCGCTACTAGTAGTATCTTCCGTGAAAAAACATCTGTTATCAATGATTACAAGAACGATGAAGAATGTTACATCTCTACAGCATAATCACTGAAAATAAGTCTAGAACAAGCTATCGATGATTTACCCCCATTGGTGTTTTAGAGCAATCAGGAAGACGCGGTTAAATCTTCTAAACGTGTGAAACCCGTACTGGTAGAGTGCCTGTAAGCCTGGCCAGGCTCACTACGACAGAACCTTTACTATTAGCCACACTTACTTACATAACGATAGTTGAAGCTCGATAGCTTTTTCTCTTCATCGTTTATTTTACCGTCATCCATTGTATCTACGTCTCTTGTTCTGGACAAATACAGTCGGGTCCTATCAATCCTTGGCCCGAGACTCAGTGAGGCTGTAATTGACAGCAGCCTTTCAGTGCCTTACTAAGGAGATTTCACCTAAGAACGGCATATGTGCAGAGTATAAATGAAGAGCAGGGTGTCGTTTACTAAGGAGATTTCACCTAAGAACGGCATATGTGCAAAGTATAAATGAGGAGCAGGGTGTCGTCGTGTGTGAAGCTTTGTGTGAAGTTATCCAGATACAGTTCATGCATCCTGTTGGAAAAGTGAGAATAGCCTAATAGGTGGCTTTATCAGAGTCGGGATATTACATTGTGAATAATTGAGCATCCCAGATCGATAATTCTAACAGGGAGAAATCTGACTTATTTCGACCGGAAGGAAATATTGAGATTGAGCTACGTAATCAGGAGTTAGAAGATCTGTCGACTAGTGAGCTTGAATCACACCTCATGTATTCACTTTTGACCGAAAGGTAATTTAAACTGCACGAAGATGGGAATGAGCGAGGCTCCATGATAATCAAGATACAGTTCTTGCATCCTGTTGAAGGGAGAAGGGCCTAGGGGACTTTATCACAGTCAAAATATTATGTTCTGAGACGAATGGCCCACCAATCCCGGACCAGAAATCCAAGTGAACTTAGAGGCAAGTTAAGAACGAAATAATTTGTAGCGAGGAGTTAGGAGACCAGTCGACGAGTTGGGGTAAATAACACTCCCACATATTCGCTCTTCGCAGCAAGGTAATTCAAATTGCGCGAAGTGCGGGGGGAATAGCTGAGTGAGACTTGTAGAATAAGGAGGTCCCATGATATGCCACCGAAGACATGCGACTATGTTAATAAAATCTTGAAGGAATGGGCGAGATTGCCGAGTTGATCTAAGGCGTGAGGGTAGGGTAGTTTACTGTAAATTTCATCTCTTCGGGGGCGTGGGTTCAAATCCCTCTCTCGTCATAAGCTTTTGTTGGGGAAAGATTGATTGAAATATATGTAAGAAAAGGGTTTTATATCTGCACCGGTAAATACACTACGATTTTAATCTCGCAAGATTTTTAAGTTAGCTTTTCCTGATGAATTTGCAAATCATCTCAATGAGTGAGCTCAGAGTTTTATGCCAATGGGTTAAAATGTTTTTGCTAACTTGTGGCTTGTGGAATATGATCATAGTGTAAAGGACGACACAGTTTAAATAAGACAGTGAGCAGATATCGGCTTCGTTCGGAGGATGGACAAAGACAAAGCTGCATCTGATTTTTTTCATATTACTACGAAGGCGAGATGAATACTGAGCTTCGTCATACTTACCGGGAGTAATAGTTAATGGAAGTCGACTGCAGCTTTGACGGTGCATCAACTCTAATTAATCCTAAGATGAAGATGTAGAACGTCGTATAGGAAACCGAACCAAGAGGCTCCTCGTCGTGCACGTATCTGAATCCTGTTAAGATTGGGATACGTGAAGAATTTGCGATATTACTAGAGCCTTAAAAAAACCTTCTGACAGACAGTAAGTAGCCGCAAAATGCACTAAGGCCTAGATTGGACTAGAAATATTGACTTCCAGAGTCGAGAAATAGATTGTTCAGGTCCACGTGAAATTTATCCTGACGAAAACCTTGTACACATCGGAAGTGAACGTGCAAGGTTATCCGGAAGATAATGAGACTCGTGGACGAAGATCCTATCAGACCCTATGCCGAGACACCGATATCGTTGAATGAGAAAGAAACGATTGCCACGCAAGTATAACAAGCAAATGATATTATTCCCATGAATGATCGAAGAAGGTAGACGAAATGCGAAGGATGAGTGAATGGCAGGTCGGAGTTGTATAGAAAACAGAGACAGTGTTTGGCGATGTTTGGCGGGGCGGGTGTCAGTGGGGATGAGTCACTCATGTTCCCCGTACACCAAGGGTATCCAGTATCGCGCTACTATGGTCCTCTCTTATCTCACTACCGTGTCCTATTCTCCCATGGTAGCCTTCAATGACCACCAGTGCATCCTCCACAAGCCAGTATTTGACTCGCTCTAACGCATCGCGTACAACAGCATGCGCTCTCCTCGTCTTCAAAGCCGTCTTCGAATGGGCCGTCCAAAGGCTGTGCCACACCGTCTCGCTCACGGACTGGCGCTGCAAGGCCTTCTACACCGCGCTCGCGTCCTTCTCATGGCCCGGGACGGTATATCGCCGCGCGGCACAACATCTCCGGCTGCACCAGAGCGCGTGCTCGCAGATGACGCGCCATTTGACGCACGTACGACACCTCGCGATCCAGACGTTCCGCGACAAGGCCGCGATCCAAACTGCGTGCGTTAGCGACGACTTTACGCATCTAATGGCGTTTGATGGGCCGATCGACGGGTATGGGAAGTATTCCCCGCGGTGGATACCCGTGAAGCTGACGGCGTAACACATCTTGCTGTGTCGATCCAGGAGCTACCGTCCTTGCGAATGTTACGACTCAGGCGTTCCCGAGTCTGACGCATCTTGTGGTGTACGTTATGATGGATTTGAGGGTTACGCTGCAATTTTTGGAGAACTTGCATGGGTTTAGGCAGCTGGAGTTCGTTGGTGCGAGGCCGTTTATTTGGGATGCGAGTATTGGGCGGTTTGTGGATGTGAAGACGGATTTGGAGACTGACGGATTTTTTAGGGTTCATTGGGAAGTTGCATTTGAGTTCGGTCGTTCTGGGCGGGGAAAGTGTGGATAAGGAACGGTGGGAGGCGTGGTGTAATGGTGAGAAAGGCATATGGGCGAGAGCGGAGAGATTGGTAAGTGGGATTTTGGAGCCATGTGATAGCTGTGCTCATTAAGCGATAGTTGATAGGGAATGTAAAGCATATTACGAATGTGTAAGGCAATGTAAATTATACTGTGTAGTATAATTTAGGTTTATCTTGTGGAGAGTGTGACTTGACGACAAGATTTGTAAGATTATCTGCCAAGGTAGCGTAGAATGAATTGTTTGACTTGAGGAAAAATAGGAAGCTATCAGAGATTATAAACCAAAATATGCTCCCGATGGTTATAATAATTACCTCTAATTCTAGTTCGTTTTCGGATACGATACGATACGACATTCCGTGAGTATTCAACTCGAGCTCAATCTCTCTCAAAACTGGACACGATTCAGCCATATCCGGCAGTATCTCGGGAAGAATGTAGTGCTCCGCTATCATAGATGTGTGGCAAACCCAAGAGAAAAGAAGAAGATTACAAAGATTGGCGACGACATCTGGGAGCAGCGAGAGATAGGGACGATGGGTCGACGAGGATGTTGATGTTGGACGTTGGATCATCACGAGCTGAAACGACGGTATATCCTTCAGTGTTGAACACCGATAGTATACTACAGTTGGGACGATATGAGATCCAAGTTCAACGTTGGTCTGGCGGCCGTGCACCCCAGCCGTATCTCGAGCATCTCGTCCTCCAAGCAAGCCCTCGCAACACTGTTGCAGTATATTATTCCCTTTGGGATTGCTTCATCATCAAACGGAAGAATGTATATCGGTCCACCCATGATATCCACCAGGATGTCGTGCTTCATGTTCTTCGAGCTCGTGCTATCAGCTTAGACGGTGAGAATAGCAGCTACAACGTTCCAGCAAAGATGCAGAATACAACTCAGGAGTAAAATTGTGAAGGAAATGATGATGGATTTGCTGTATTAGAAAGGATCAGGTGCGGTGGTTGCAGCTTGCAGTTGTGGTTGGATGTCGCGACTGATCCGTCCATAATGTCAACCAATTAGCACCCAACGAGATTCAGAATGCAGGACGACGTACAAAGAGGGTGGTTCCGTATACCTGTCAGTCATCAAGCGGGGGTGTGTCTATCCTGCTTGCTGCGAGACTAACACTATGTGGAGCAATGATCGTCATAAGCACACTTCAGGTGCATCTTGAGTTTCCGCGTAAATAGCCACCGCGTGAGGTACTGCATAGGCTCATCATTCCTTATTCGTTGTCGAGTGGAAGTGACATTTTGAAGACTATGCATTCGATGGCAGAGTAGAAATAATGATATAAGCTACTCGTAGCCCGCACATAGTGATACACAAAGGTCTAGAAAGAGCTCAAGAATCAGTATGGGTGCTATCGTGCTATACTCGAAGGTACGTGCACCTATGCTTGCCAATCTAGATCGCTTTGTCGCAGTCTCAAAGTCTGCATAAGTATCCGGGAAATTGATGGTACATTGCCAGCGGTCCAATGCTGTCGAAAGAAAGAGACGATTGGGCTTTGCCTGAAATCGACACTCCAAGGTCACGATGATGGATCAGGTGGGAAGAGCGAAGCGTCAATTAGGCCGTTACGAGAATTGAGTCGGGCCATGAGGTGAAACCGGTGGATTGTAGTATGCTCAAAGACAGGTGTGGTAGGAGGGCCACATTCGAATCCTGATTTACCAGGTACCGAACCCTAACACGTCCCCCCATCCGAGCCTTTCTATTATCCTAACACTAAGCTCTTTCTACCCGATAAACTACTAGTACTCCGTTTATGCAGCGAGCACCGATCAAGCCACATAGCTGAAGAGGAAGGCTCATCCCGGCCAGCTTGCAGTTCGGCTTGGTCGTTCCATGCATGGTGCTGCACCGGACTGCCCTGGACCCTGTGTTCCTGCGCTGCTGGGAGCATGTGCTTCTTCGTCGACTGTATCAGTATCTAGTGACAAATATTGACCCGGTGGCGCCGCTGCTGGTTTGGTTAGCCCCATGCTGCTCTGTACCTAAGACAGAGCCCAACGGCACCACCCGGGTAGGGCGGATGTTCAGATGTTGAAAACAGGTTTCACCGGTGTTGTGATCGGTCATTGGGTGTTGATCAACGTTATAGTATAGTAGAGTAGAATAGATTAGATTAGAGAAAGAATAGAATCAAGTAATGAAGGAATGATTATTAGGAATTGTGTGATACGGTGTTGTACTTGTCGGTAGTTGAAAATTCGAAAACCGTTCTGAGCGCTTTCGCTTGTCATTCGTCTGGACGCCTGCTGCCGGCTGAGTCCCCAGCACGCTTAGGTTCAGCCGGCACCTCGGCTAATTTCAATTCAAACAAAATGTGCCGGCACAGCTTATGCGGAATCACATAAGAACTACCCGCTGAAAAAACACAATTCCACTGAAATGATATCCAACCTGTCTGCTACAATTATACTAGATTCTCATCTCCTTATTCCCAGCCTGCAGGACAGTAAGTCCGTTTTTTCTGACTCCTTCAACACAATATTGTTGACAATACTTTATTATACAGTATTCTTCACAAAATGCTCTTATGTGTCGGCATTGGCATTCCTCGTCTTTGACTGCAGTTGAGCAACTTACTCACAGCGTATTATCTGGTCTAATACTGATGCGCGTTCTTAGTTCTCATGTTTCCACAAGAGGTAGGGGAGCTTCGTCTATTATTTACCCTACACGAAATATCAGCATTTCTATTAGGTTGAATATATCTGGAAAGGAGATTGGGGATTTGGAAGAATACTTTATATAGCGGTATAGTAACATGTTCATTCCCATCTCTTCCTGACTATAAAACTCCCGCAGATACGCTGTGTTGGTCTTAGTACCCTCATTCTCTTCAACATAGGTCAGCAATGGTGCGATCAATGTCAGACAGAAATTTACTCAGTAATATCTCTTTAAAAGTCCTTTTCAGTATAGTTTCAACCCAGGTACGAGGAAACCTTTTCCCTCTTTGTTTTATAGGCTTATAAAGGTTCCGAATGATCTACCATATTCCGCTAACAGTTGTATGTGACTTCGAAAGCCTTTTTTGTTCTCGACGCTTCTGACCAGGATTGATCATATAGCTGCGTTACCTATCTGTACATCACTGAGATACTGTAAGCTTCCCTTTTCGCATTACTTGAAAAACTCCTGAAGCAGTATTAGTTTGGTCACAATGGGTACTCTCGCCGAAGGTCAGCCATTCAGAGGATCTG